ACTTACACAGAGATAATGCAGGATTGAACTGTGTGTGTTAGGCTACTTAATATTCAGGAAAAGCCCCAATCAGAGAGGCGAATGTCTGCAGCCCCGCTTCCGTTTTCAGATGTCTCCGTTTTCCATCATCCACACTGAATGAAATGAAATGAATGAAAACGGCCTCTCCACCGTTTTCGAAACGCTCCGTTTTCGGCGCTCGAGAACTCCGGCGTAGTGTGGACGGTGGGCGTAACCGTAGCAAAACTTGTGCGTTTTCAAACTAAAACGCATTAGTGTAAACGGGGCCTTAGAGTTTTCCAGCTCTTTTCATCCCCGCTTCTAGCAGCACACTCCATTTCCGCATTACTGGATCTGTAGCGACAACAGACCGCAAGGGATGATGGTCAAGCATGGGCTGATGGCAATTGTAGTTTTCGCTACCTCCCGTTCGCTTCATTCGCCTGAGCAAATTTTCTCAGAAGACCTATAGTTTTACAGAGTCATGCGACTTCGGTAATATCGAAAAAAATTAATATTGCGGTATGACGGTATTTACAATACCGTTACATCCCTAACGATTACCCTGATTATTTTTGATTAACGATTACTGAAATTAAAAAGCTCCCAGTACTGGGTTGAATACCAAAGCAATACTAAAAACACTGAAAATGGGTTGGTGTTACCTTACGCTACCTTTATTAAAATTTTCGTGTGAATGTTGATTTCACCATCTCATTTAGGAAACCTCCATACCATGTATAATAAACCAGGTATATCTCTGAACTGTTCATAATAGTGAATATAAAAACATGACACATCCCTTCTCCTTTATTTAGTCGCGATGACTCCTGAGACTTTGACCAAGTGCAACACTAAAGTCTGCATTAGATGCATCCTCGATATCAAGAACAAAACTGGGTTCTGTCACGCACCCTCCGTTCTTGAGTATAAGAATTAAACATTGGCGGTTGATAGTGACGTTACACGAGAATACAAGGATGTAAGATTACTTAAGAACACTTCGAGAACCAGCCAAAGATTTCTTTATAGCATTAAAGAAAATTAAATTACAATAAGTTATATATAATTAGAACGAGGACAGCATGGTATTGGAAAATGTAACATTGCATTATTTGTTTATTTTATGATATACATTGCGTCATGAACACATTTTAACCAGATGACTTAATATCTCTATTTAAAAGCATTAATAATGTTAGATGGATTGGCATGATTCTGCATCTCCAGAAAATCGAATAGTTTATAAACTTTTTGGGGTCCCCCGACACATTTTTGTTGTGTTCTGTGCTATTTGCCGTGCATTTCAGTATCAACAATTTATAAATACAATCGAGAAAAAGATAATTAAAGTGTTTTATAATTTCCAGAGTCTAACAGTATTCAAGTATAGCAATTGAATGATAAAAATAAAAGTAATTCAATAAAATTAATTAATGTCGTAAATGGTCATTTCTTTTACCCGAATTCTTTTAAAATCATTATACAATCACAGGCATCCCAAACATGTGCAAATGATAAATTATGATACAATATCAACATTGCATATATCCTGCGATCTGACAATTGTGATGTACTCATTGCGATATTGAAGCTGAAACAATATATTGTACAGCTCTAATTAGAACCAAAAATATAGTTCAATTAAAGAGTAATCAAACTGCTATAAATCATTTTGAAAAGAACTAGATTACAGTCTTGATTGGAGACTCACAACAATATCGAGTTAGACTATGATATTGATCATCAGCATAATACAATTAACAGCCATTAGACAGTCTCAAATGAAACATCCAAAGTACAGGAAACACAACAGGATAGTTAATATGCAGAAAACCGAAGCGATTCTAGATGTGTGTTGTGGGCGAAGACTGTTGAACAGCACTGTAAGGCAGGGGTCATCCTGCACAACTTTCTCCTAATCTTACATCCGACTGCAGGAAAAAATACATCTCTCCTTCCTTACCACGCTTCAACTTACTTAAATCTGCAAGCAGAGATTATGCATCTGAATTTTATGAAACAGATCGTGAAAAGGGTGCGTTTACATAACAATGTACTAATATTGACAGGTTTTTCCAGTCGCTTTTTGAACATTTTGCATACATATATGACAATGTCAAAATAATCACATGGATCTGCAAAATAAACAATTTAGTATTTTAAGTTTGCAAGAAAAACAAGAAAATTTATATTTTTATGGTTGCCTTTTGTTTCGTTTTGTTTGCAAGCTGTGAAGAAGTTCACTTTTTTTTTCAACTATTTTCGTACAATATTTTACGACTTTTAGACAATTAGATTAATTTTAACATCAAACTAAACTTTCTGTTCTGCCCTATCAGACTTCAAACTTGGATAAGCAAGTTTAAATTAGGTTGTAGTCTTAAAAAACATTGCTTTATCAAAGGCTGAAAGTTCAATGGGAAAAACCTACCAAAAAGAATGTGAGAGCAACCAAGGCTATGAGTGACTGTAAAAAGTTTACACTACAATTTAAGAAAGATGTTCACTTAGGGTTTCTGCAGACTTTAAGACATTTTAAGACCATAACAAATTAAATTTTAGACTCATAAAGGGCTAAACACTAAGGATTTTTTAAAAAAATAAATATTGTAATAAACAATAATAATTTAATAATAAAAAAATTTAATATTTCAAATATGATGTACAAACAAGCAAGCTCTACTTGTATCCATAACCTTTTTTTTACAAGTTAACAAATGCTTTAAAAGTTTAAAACATATAGAAACTAAATGCATACACAACAATTTGTCCAGGAGTGCGTTTCTGAAAACCATTGTTAGCCAACTAAGGTTGCAAGTTGCGTTGTTACAAATATTGATTTAGCATTTCCTAAATCCGTCATTACAACGAACATTCGCAAACTGCATCACAAACTTATACGTTTGCAACTACACCTCTAGAGCTGTAGTTAGAAGCATAGTTTCTGACTGTGTTCTATTTCCAGTTATCCCCCCATGCCCTATTCCTTTCGAACCTTCCAACATTTAATCTTGGAGTGATTGAAAAAAACATTAAAGTCATATATGTATATTGCTTTCAAAGTATTTTTAAAGTTCAGGTTTAGCAATCTTAATATTGACAACTGCATTTCCTTCGCAGTGCACTTTGAAAACATTTATGCCATTTTGAACACAGCCATGGTTCATCACTAAAGCTATAGGTAACCTATTAATTAAAAGCGGAATTGACATTATGTCCCAAAAGCTTGTGAAAACAAAAAATATATATAGTACCCGTAATGTTTTTGATTTATAGGTTATTCATTAAGAAATGTATCTGTACTGTATATGACATGGGCCTGTTGATTACAACATTTCTGCAGTGATTTAAATGTGTCCAATTGAAATAGTAGACTTTCACGATAAATAAAAAAAAAAAAATCCTATTTAATAATAATAAAACAAAATATTATCATGTAGGATTTTTCTTCATTTCTTATTAAAGTTTTATGCTGGATCTGCGACAGAAAAACCATGGTTTTGAGAAACAGTTGTAACTACATCGTTTTTTTTCCCAAACTTACTATGATAGTGCAGCCATGAGCTATGTCGTTGTTGGAAAATGCATCTCATGTCAGTGTCCTCAGAAGTAAATACATGGAGCACTTTCAAACAAATGTTATTTGTGATAAAAAATTATTAAACAATTATGGTAAATAGAGTAAAATTACCTCAAAAATTACCTTTTTGAAAAAAAAAAAGTTTAAAGTTTTATTGAGATGGATTGTTTAATGGTTGTTGGCCAGATTGGGTAGCAATGCATGAACAAAGAAAAATTAAGACCCATTTAAAAAAAAGATTAAAGATCTACAATACAATATTTTAGTAAATTCAAGACTTTTTGAGGCCTAAAACTTTGACTTTGAGACTTAAGACATAACTATTGAGGTAAAAGTGTCACATATTTTGTAAGACTGGCGTAAAAGTGTGCATTAGAAAAAAAGCCTTTAACTATCCCAGTTGCTTTGCTTTTTTACTATACTTGTATTTGTGTTGTCACATAATACCACACAAAAATATACATTAATGTATAAGTTGCATTTTCAAAGAAAGTAAGTTCTACTGTGTACAGCACACTTTTTCAACTGGTATTTTTATTAAAATTTGTGGGTTTTACATTGTAGTCAGTTTGTTCATAATATGCTTATTTAGCTACAGTATCTGACATATGCTTTACTATAGGATATCTGCTTCAAAACAAGGCCAACAAACCCGCATTCCACCAAAGTGGGTTACAAATGCACTTGCACACAAACTTGAAATAACACACAAGCACAAAGTCGAAACTGTACAGAGCTGAGATCTAAGCAAAAATTTCACAGGACAAAAAAAATCTCTCAAGCAACTGGCAGATTTAACACTTATTTGAGTGACAAGCTATGCAATGTTGCAGTCTTTCCCAACTAACACAAGACACATTGACAACAAACCCATAGCAAATTCAATAAAAAGCTTTGGAGAAGATAAATAACTTCTAATAAACGTGTATGATTATAAATTCATGACCTATATAAAACACTCAGGCAAAGCCACCAATATCTAGTTTCTTACACCAATAGCCATATTATGGCAAACACGTTTAAATGTTAAATAATTAAACATTTTTAACGATCAGCAATACAATTCTGATGTGTGAAAAGATTCAGAGAGCCAAGCGTCTGTTTTGATCGGCTAACCAGCTAGCCATTTTCAACTGTTAAAGCACAAAACCCCACATAAACTGTCACTAACACTGACTAACATTACACAGATTACAAAAGCAAAAATAACGAAAAACACTCACTGCATACTCACAATGTCGTGACATATGACAACACACACGGATAGCTTGAAAGCTGGCTAAGGAAATCTGTCTGTTAGCATTAGCCACCCTTCAGATGTGGCTAACAGGCTAGTAGCATTAGCCCTGCGCGAGCTCACACAAACAAAAACATGGTAAACACAAATGTCACCTCACACTTCTCACCAAACGCGTACATTTTGGAATAAGCCGTCTCATCTTGACGAGAAGCGGTTAAATTCTCGTGTCTGGGGGTGTAAAAGCTCGTTGTTCTCTTCAGACAGGCCCTCTGTGAAAACAAACTGTCATCCGCCTAACGGCACTCTGGCAGAGCTCGAGCTCAAAGCGGGAAGAGCTCAATCCGCAGCGGGTGCGCGTGCGTCGGACTCGGAGAGGCCGCGAGTCGACTCTTTCGAGCAGTTCGTTCTGAAGAATCGGTGAATAGCATCGGTTGTTCTTTTAAAGGGATAGTTCACCATGTGTGCGAATTATACATTTTGGTAATGTTAGTTTACATGATTCAGTGAATCAAATGTATGTTTTTATTTATTTTCAGTGTTTTGAATATTTAGTGTATTCTGACCTGATGAGCCATTTCGGCTTACTTTAGGACAAACTATACAAACAATGCATCTAATTTGACATTTCTTTTAGGCAATATGTACAAACAAACATCTATTCAATGGGAAAACATGCATTTCTTCAGGTTTTGTGAACTCTTTGGTGTCTATCTCTGCTCTAAATCTGCCGATTTGAAACTGCTGATAACTTTTTTCTGCATAGACTGATTGGTGCAATTATGCATTCACAGTTTCTACTATCGTGCCTAAAGTGTGAGCCAAGGCCAGTCGCGTTTCCACTGTCACTTCCAGGGCCTGATCGTGCGCAAGCGGGGCTTCCTTAGGGCCAGCGGCTGGGCTTTTTTCGGCCCGTCTAATACCTTGGGCCAAAGAGGGCCAGCTATGGCCTCGGAAGCGTCACGGTTTTTAAGGTGGACCGGATAGTGTCAATAAGAAGCTGCGAATAAGAAGCTGGATTCAGCCTCGTTATTCCATAAAATACCTTATAGGCTAGGGGTCTTTTTAGTGTGACACTTGATTTGGGTGACACACTGCGAGCTACTAGCCTGACAGTGGAAACGTGATCTGATTTCAGCCTCACTGCTCATGCTTCTGGGCAATTGGCATGCATGTCCCAGTCCGATAAAAGCCCTGGCTCGCACTGCCCGACAGTGGAAATGCGGCTAATGGTATGAACTGTTATAGAGGTGGTCAAAATTATGTCTATTATTTTAATTATTAACATTATTATTTAAAATACAGATCAGGGTGAATTTTTATCCTCAGTGTAATTCGCACCCTGAGTTCATCCTAAAGTAACAATTCTGTCACATTTTAAGCTTAAAGCGATAGTTCAAAAAAGAAAATTAAATTCTGTCAACTTTCTCAAACTCTTGTTCTTTCTTTTTTTTTTGACGAATCTTGGAAACTATAGCCATATTGACTTTCATAGTATATATATATATATATATATATATATATATATATATATATATATATATATATATATATATATATACTATGAATATGTCAGAATGTGCCAAGAGATATCTTTAGCTCTCCACTCTACCTCACTAATACCCCTTTCACACAGTGATACCGGTAGATATCTGGAACATTTCCGAAACTACTTTACTGGTATATTCAAAAAAGCGCTGTTCACACAGGCGAGGACGTTACGGAATTTTTCCAGAAAAGACCTTTCACACATCCATTCCAAAATACCGGTAAATTCTGACATCATTAACCAGAAATGAGCTTTAAACGGCTGGGCTTGTATTTGTAAATATTTGACTACATTACAAACTGTGTGGACGGATCAGTATTTTAAACAACTCCGATAAAAACATATAGAGAAACACTTTCGCATGTCGAGATGTTCATAATATGTGTGTGTGCTGGCGCTCACGGGCTCACGTGTCTGGGAAAATATTCAAAGGCTTTTATTCTCATAAACCGCGCGGACGTAAATGCGACTGACTGTTCTGATTGGCTAAAGCAGACGTCAAACGTCAGCACGTTCTAGACGTGCACGCGCTCTTTCCGGCAATCTACCTTCTGCATTCACACAACGCAGCATTCCGGCAAATTACCAGTAATGTTACAACTTCTCTTTCTGGAAAATAGTCATAACGAATTTACCGGTATTTTCAAAAAAGACCTGTTCACACATGCAGACCTTTCCGGAAAATTACTGGCAATTTTCCGGAAAGGTCTGTATGTGTAAAAGGGGCTTTATCTACCTGCAAAACATTTACCTGAATTTTTGCAAGTGTACCATCAGGTAATAAGCCAATCAATAAATACATTTAAATAAAAAATAATAAATAAAGTCAAAGGGTCAGATCCAATCAGTCAAAGTCCCTTTTTTGTATTCCATATAGTCTTCAAATGAGTTCAAAATAAAGTGCAGTTTGATTTGTGATCAAATTGTTTAGGCCAATTGGTAAACAATTTAAATAAGGACTTTGTGACTGCTAGATCTCTGTTATAAATACAAATCAATCGAATAGCCTATGAGCCGGTCTCATCCTTCAAGTTTCTGGGGACCCACATCTCAAAGGACTTTTCCTGGACCACCAACACCTCCAGCCTGGTCAAGAAGGCTCACCAGCGCCTATTCTTTTTAAGGCAACTTCAGAAGAACCAGCTTTCATCAGCCGTCTTGGTGAACTTCTACCGCTGCACAATAGAGAGCATCCTGACCAACTGCGTCACAGTCTGGTATGGAAGCTGCTCTATTGCTGAGCGTTAGGCACTGCAGCGGGTAGTAAAAACTGCCCAACGCATCACAGGGACCACACTGCCAGCCATAGAGGACATCCAGAAGAAACACTGTCTGCGCAGAGCACGCAGTATTCTTAAGGACACTACTGCCTTCCGACAGGCGCTTTAGGTTCCCCCGGACAAAAACCAGCAGACTGAGGAATAGCTTTTTCCCCAGAGCTGTCTCCCTCTTGAACTCTGCCCCTCACTGACTCTTTTGCCCCCAATACACCCTCACTCTCCTCTAACTTATACTCCTCACTATCACTGCACTGTTTAACATTTGCACATATGAGATTTGCACATATTCATTGCACTACATTGCACTGGTTTACTTATTTGGACTGTATATACCCTCAGCACATGGACATTTGTAATTATGTACACACCTACTGTACATGTACATTTGCAACTATGCTTATCTATCTGGACACTTCTGATTATTAATAGCAATCTGTACATATATTTATTGTAAATCTCTGTTCATAGCTAATACAACCTGTATAAAATGTTGATAGTACATCTATCTGTAAATATCACCATAGTTTTCCTATAATAGCACTTTATAACTTATACCTGTATCCTGCACTTGCTGCAAATGCACTGCTAGTTAGACCTAATCTGCATTTTGTTGCATTGTACTTGTACATGTGTAATGACAATAAAGTTGAATCTAATCTAATCTAATCTAATCTAAAAGATTTGTGTGGTGATCCCAATGTACCATATTTGCCATTATCAAGTGTCCTGACAGCCAGCATCAGCTCATATCCTTTCCCCTGGCCTTAGCAAAGTGTCAATCAGATGTGCATTTCAAAATCTTGTCAGAAAAGTAAATAAGTAATTGATCTTTAATAAGGTTTGTGTATTAAGACATGCCTTTTTGTAAATAGATGGACTACATAGTTCATTCATTCATTTTTCTTCTGCTTAGTCCATTTATTTATTAGGGGTCACCACAGCAAAATTAACCGACAACTTATCCAGTACAGATTTTACACAGCTAATGCCCTTCCAGTTAGACTACATAGTTATAGTATTTAAGTATGGAATTTCAGTGCAATTCTCTGTATACAGTTTAATCGAATCACTGAAAAGATCCGAGTCAACAGAACAATTCGTTCACGAATCGCTAGAGTGTGCGTGAGCGCGCAGCAGCAGTCGTGCTCTGTCTGATGAACTGACACTGATAAAGGTATATTTCCTTGCCTTTTATTTCTCAACCAAGTCTCTCTTTCTTCACGCTACATTCACCTCAACTTCATTTGTATTTTGTTAAATATGCATGTGTGTAATCTAATACGCTTTCGCAGTGTCGTAAACGTTAACTATCACGCCAATAAAGCTTTGTTGACTCTGACTCTATGACCATTTTGGGACAAATCACTCTTTTGTTTACTGTCGCATTCCGCGCGCATACTTGGCTTCCGCGGCACCTTTCTCCTCATTCCCCCGCACATACACGCACAATCCCTCCTCTTTCTTTTCTCAAGCCTACGGAATACGTAAAAAATAGAAAACACATTCAACACACACATAAAGCAGCGGCCATTCCGGGACTGAACAAAAGAGTGCTTTCAGAGGCACCGGACACGGACAGCGGTGCGTCGAGCGCGCGTCGACCGCCCACCGCGGAGTCTCCCCGGGCCGAACACAAACCCCGCGCCGCAGAAGGTGCGACTGTGAGCCGCGGAGAGCCGTGAAAATGCTTTACCTTCAGAGGTGTGACTCCGCCATCCCTGTTTCCTCCTCCTTTCCAGCAGTGCTGCAGCGCGCTCTCCTTCCCCGACGCGCGTCACACGCACGCAGTACCGACGCGTCACGAGACTTCTGGAGCTCCGCTTTATTTGTGTTTGCGAAATATCGGACGCAATAAAATGCCATGGGAGTCCTCAGTGGAGAGAGAGAGAGAAAAGAAATGGACGAATTGCCACGAAACAGAATAACCCAAATATTTATTTTCTGTCGCTAAAAGTGCAACTGTTTAGAGATACGGAACGGAAGCTGCAAATAATGTCGTCAAAACAGTGCAACATATGCACACCATTATTAATTATAACAACTGTCCAGGAATGAGCTTTATTTTTTAAAGTAATTGAATATGATATTTATGATTAAATAATTTATTTAAATATAATAATCCAAAGCTACAATATAATAATATAATTGTAATTATAATTTAATAATGATGATAATAGTAATAATAATAATAATGATGATGATGATGATGATGATGATGATAATAATAATAATAATAATTTCTTATGTAGCGCACTCTAGACACTCAAAAATCTTTACGCAATGGGGATAATATAATAGTAATTACTTTATAATATAATAATAATTATATTAGGCTATATTATTTGATGCAGTCTACACTGGCAGCAAATAATTTCAAACGCAAATTAAACAAATACGTCAAACACAATTTTATTTAGCTGTAAGAATTATATAGTAATAAATACTTTAAGAAAGAGTTTATTTTTATTGTTCGTTTGTTC